ACTGTAGTAATTAGTGTCTTCAGATGTTTATTGACATGTAAAAGTTGCTCACTAGATCATATGACTCAATCGGGTAGACGACGAGTAAGTGACACAAGGTATGCATGTACGAATCTAATTTTCTGCACATATTTCTATCATTTAGACTAGTCCGAACTAGACCGCTACATAAGACTGAAATCTAATAGATGTCGCGTCACAGGCGCTCTGCCTTTTTTAATTTAAAATCTATTTTCGGACGGGATGCCCAGACGGGGTTAAAGATTCCAAACCATTTTGGACTAGTCATGTAGTAGGACTTTTTGAGAAAAAGACTAGACATGACGCATAGTCACGACTAGAAAAATGACTAGTCTTTTTACCCGTCCTTTGCTCGCCTGGGTTGATATTTATAACGTAGAGGTTATCTCAAATCTTTCTCTCGACTCACTATCTGATTCCACCACTATTATATACATTCCTTTTTCTTTCATTGTTTATTAAAGCAATCTAAAAGAGATCTAAATTTTTTCACATTATGAAATGTTTACTAAGTAGATTCTTCGTACAGGCTTATAACATCTTCAGATTAATGAAAAATTACTTTATTTATATTTTTTAAGTAATGATATATACAAGATTTAATTAGTTTAGTTGTTGATTTATATTTTATGATTTTTCATTAGAACTAAGAAAATGCAATATCATCTAGATTTTTTGTATTTGTTTTGTTGTCAATTTTTTCTTCTTTTTTAAATACTTTTCTATTTCCATCTAGTTGTGTCTCATTAATAAAAAAAAAGCCTATGAATGAAGATTATATAAAGATGTGATTATATTAAAATGAAAGAAATGACGCAAAGAAAGATTTACTATTCATAAATTTATTTTAATTTATTATTTTATCATGAAATTATTGACATCTATATATCAATACATTAGAGCTTCTATTACTAATATTAATTGTCAAGGATTTTATAAAACTGACGTGTCCTTTTGAAATATCAAAACGAGATATTTTAACTATTTTCTCGATGGGAATTTTTTTGAAACAATACCAAAAATGTGAGTTTTTCTTGTTTATAACATTCTGAAATGGAGGATATAGTTCAAAGGAAACAGCGAATTCTGTGAAGAATCATCAAACATCATAAGATTCTATAATTACATATTCAAATAGAATAATTCAGAATTTTTTTGAGCTCGTCGACTAGTTTCCTGAGAAATCTCAGAGCTTCAGATAATAATATAGATCTGATAAACTCTAACATCTAACGATTTGTGATATTGGAGCTTCAATAATACCTATAAATCTATCGGGCAACAACAGTTCTGAAATTTTGTTTTGTTTCACGAGACTTTAAAAGACTAAAGATTTAAAAATGTCATATAATCTTGTATACTTTCAGATTCAAATCTTCTTGTCTCTTCCATAATCTGCATATATAATGGTACTACATGGTGATGTTGCGATACCAGTACAACAAAGGTTTTGATCAACCGATGTTAGACTCGTATTGTTGACAAGCACTATCAGCTAATGAATCGTCTAGAATGAAAGATAGTATTGCTCAATATAAGTAATGCTATGCGAGTCTACCGATTGATGAGTAGAAGAGTTTCTTTTAGTTAATTGAGAACATTGTGATGCAGAATAATAAATTTAAAAAAACCATCCATTGGAAGGTTGCTGTTGTTTCGTTTCAAAATTGAAACAAATCGCGTTGCAATTGATCGAATATTAGTGCTTGAATGTTTTAGAAGTGCATAAATAATGAAATGAAATTAAAATAAATCATCTATTTTATTTCATGAATACAGCTGTCAGTAAGTGTTCATTATATGGGGACCTCTACCGTTTGATTTTGATTAGTTAAATGGCTTCCCAAATTTTATTCTATTGCTTTATCACTAACATGTTTGATTCTTGCTCGATAATAATACTTTCTTCAGCGCACATATGAAAGCATTCGTTACTCGTCATAAGGTTTTGCATGAGGTTCTTCATGGTCCATTGTGATCGATTAAACAATAGTGGAGAGATGAAGTTATTTTCTATCGAAGTAAAAGTATCGCTTTTAGCCTATTCTTATGTCAAGAGAAGCTGAACATTCAATAAACAAAAAGTGCAGAATTAGATCCAGTGAAAGATTGACGTTCCTCTCTCTTCTATGTCACTGTACTGTGATGACAAATTTTTATTTTATAATAACATTCGGCTCACTATCGGCACTTGGAATCACAGTGATATATTCAAGCATACGATTGAATGTTCGGTAAGAGAAAGTATTTCGTTTTGAAGATCCTTGTTTATCATTGTTATTTTTTACTTTTCATGTAGACTGTATTGCTATGTGTTTTTGCATTTTCAATAAATAATTCGCTAATTCATCAGCAATATTCAATCAAAAGATTTCTTTGCTCTAGGTACCATTGATCTTCACTCCATTCTAACACCATTACAATAATTTTCTAAACGGCATTAACGGTGTCTTCAAGAGTAGCATTACATTTAAAAAATTCTGCAACGCTCTGTCGTCGCCGGTAATTACACTCTACAACCTATCAATGTTATGAAAAAATTACGATTAAATAAGTACGTTTCTTACATGGCTTGAGACACGTATATGAAGAAAGATGGAATCATCTTATGTCACAATTTCTTCAATTCAAAATATCAGTTATTTTACTCAAATATATATGAAAAACTTCAATATATTCTCTTGCAAGAAGAAATAAATTTTAAAAAAACTAGTATAAAATATTTATCTACATCAAGAAGAAACATATACGATGCATTAGCAAATATTTTATCTCCTGTAATCATGACAAAATTCAATCGAATTATTGCTGCAATTTAATTTAAAGTGAAGTATGCTAAATATTGGATATATTATGATAAACTACAAATGTTGATTAATATTAGAGACCAGCAACAAGAAGGAAGAAATGGAAAACATATATTTCCAAATACAAGCCCAGCTAATTGGATAGTAAACAATTAACAACAACAAAACTGAACAAAAACAAGGATGGATTTTATCGAATCACAATCTAACTGAAGAAGAAACTCATATATTAGAAATAGAAATATTTTACAATCATTCTAGTGCAATTAATCATTCTAAAATAATCTCCTATGTTGAATGTTTATTCCATTATGCTTCTAGCATTCAAAAACAAAGTAATTGGTTTTAAAAAATGAGACGAAGATCCTTACAATGTTTCAAACAAAGAACTTCGAGCTATAGAACCAAAACAAGTGTTTCCTGCAACACATTAAAAAAATAAAAATAAATTCTTCCACCAGGTCCAAGCACCACTTAAGACGAAAAGATTCTAAAATCAGAAGGAAAATAATGATGACAAAATATTATTAAATTTATCGAGAGATCTATCTATTATAATCACTAAAGGCAATAAAAGTCACATTGTTAAATCAAGATCGTACCATCTCTCATGAATATACGGTAACTATCCTTGCACTAAAGATGAAAAATAAAGAATACCCGGCAAAACAAGAATATAAATACCTTAAACCGGTCGGTTCCATTCCAGCTAGATTATGTTCTACCAAAAGTTTATAAAGCTAATTTATCTCTTAGACCAATAATGTCATTTGGTCAACCAAATAGCTGCCAATAAAGTAAATTTCTCGCTATCCTTATCAAATCATTATGTGACAAAGTTTTGATACAACGATCCTTACGAAGAAACCAACAACCAAATTTACGTCACAATGGAATAGTTCAGTTGCCACAACTTACAAAACGGCGTCCGTAACCACATTAGTAATCTAGGAAATTCTAATATATTCAAAATTTGACTTATTACATGATGAATTCCAATATATCCATATGATAATAAATTTTAATGGTTATTCTTCTAGCTTCGTTGAATAAATAATATATAAGCAATGAGACAGATTATATAAATTTAAAGAAACAGAAAGAGAGCTGTCAAATCCAAATTTCAAAAATCAAGAATTGCTTGCATGAACATCGGGGAAAAAATAGAAGACTTTTATCGAAATTAGGAAGCTATTTAGCTAATTTGCTTCGAGAAAAACTGAAATTTGTGTCCACGTGAGCGATAGATATTTTCTCGTGCTGAGCTAATGATAGCCAAATTTTTCTCTGAGTGTTATATAAAAACCCAACGATAATCACATAAATTCTATATTATCAGTCACTTCACAGTCAATCCTGGATTATACAAATAACATACAAAATAAAGTTTATTTAGAAAGTTATATTGATCTATACATCTGTTGGCTGCAGCTGATTTTGCGTAGCTTTGATGGCTTTTTTTTTGTTTTCACATGACTATTTATATCAGTTATTGCACTATTTAGAATTGAGACTCGTACATGGCAAATAAAATATAAAGCTTTTGTTTTGGCATTTTTACACTCTTTTAGCAATGAAAAATATTTTGGATTAGTTAATCATTCTTTTTTGAAATTTGACAAATAACGTTTAGTTGCAGTGATAAATAATAATGGTAAAGCAGTTATAGATTTTGAATTATTTTTTAGTGAAACGGATTCAGAAATTTTTACAAGTTGGAGTAAAGATTGTGACGGAAGGTTTTCCTCTAATGAACTTAAAACTTCATTGATTTTATCCTCTTCCATCGAAAACATTCACTAAATATTCAAAGAGCTGTTTCTTTTTATCTACAGTGTTTAAGTTATTCGTATAGACTTTGTTTATGAAAGTGATAATCTTAGTTTTAGTGATATCAACAAAAATAAGATATTTCTTGTTCGTTGTTGTATCTTTCAAATGTTGTAATACTTCTCTTTTCCTTGTCTTTTCTTTTGCTTGTGTTGTCTTAATAATTCAAAGTATCACCAGAATTCAAGGCGATAAAAAACAAATCAGCAAAACCAGGAAACCAGAAAAAACCAGAAGAAAATGTTAAAAACCAGCTCCTGGGTCCAGGAGATCTTTTTAACCAGGAAAAAGTGTAAAAATCAGGAGTCTCCTGGCTAAATCAAGAGACTTTGCAGCCATAAATAGAAAATCAAATTCAACAAATACCAGATTAAAATAAAAAATACAAATACCTTGAAATACTATATATCAGCCAACCAAATTATGCATGTGCGAATAGTCTCTAATGAATCATTATAAAAAATGATCCAACATCAGGTCTTAGAGCTATCTATAAGAAAATGATGAATCCAATGAAATGTTTCTTTCCAACAAAATATCGTCTTACTGTTTACCAGAAATCAGACATCGTATATACCAGAGATGCTCATGTGATCTTTTTCGTCACCCCATGGGCCCCATGGGCTCCTCATCCTCAGGATTCCCCACAAGCCAACTTTTAAAAAACAACTTTCCCCATCTTTGGGGAGACTGGGTTTTTGAAATTCAGTTCACCCCACCCATGGGCTCCCTTTGCCCCACCCATGGGGTGAACATAAAAGATAATTTATTTTTTGAGAAAAAAATATCCACACACACGCACACAGAAATAAACAATAAATGATATCAGCAAATATACAACGAAAAAAAAGTACAAAAAATAGCCATAACAAAATATCTATCATATTTTACAAAAGAAAACAACAAAATTGTTTTGATCAAACCATAAATGATGAAAGTTCATTTAGACCATGGGGTTAAAAGATTTTTTACCCCATGGGTAGGGAAATGGATTTGCGAAAATTTACTCTTGTGGGGAAAATGATGGAGTGATATATCGTTCCCTCCCCATCTGGGGCGTCACCCCATGGGTTCCCCATGGGCCCCGACCATATGGGTGCCCCGACGAGCATCTCTGGTATATACACTAGTTTGTATTGATTGTAACAATACCTACATGGGGGAAAAACTATACGACAAACATATAGGCGTCTATATATGAACATGACAAAGATGCTGCAAAAAGCTGCAATATGTCTTCAAAAGTCCTTTTCTCTTACTCACACTAACAACAAAATCAATCAACGAAACAAAACCATCACTAATGATCGCATTCCAAATAACATTTCAAATCGAAAATTACGTCCTAACAGCAAATTAACTAATAAACAAATCAAATTTTAATCACATATGCAACAAAATCCAACAGACATATATCAATATAAGCCTAATTTTACTTTGAACAAAAACGTGAAAAATACAACTTATTCCATAGATTTTGAAAGTGTGCAAATTTTAAACTAAGATCAAAAGTCGTATCGTCTACTAGTCAAAAAATCAATTGGAATCCACTTAAGAAAACTCACTCTCAATAGTACCGACATTTCTATTCTACTCTATGTATTTTCTCAAGGATCCAAGAAATTTAGCTATGAAGCGTGACCATATTGAAAATATTCAAACCCATTTTTAGAATATTTTTCAACCCATTCAACTAGGAACTAATTTTTATTAATTCTATTAATCCAATTATTTCTTCCATTCTAACTTCAGAAAAAGGCAAATTCGAAACTATAACCCACTGTTGCAATTAGTAACTCTACCATATCTTTCATTCGCACAAACAAGAGTAGCTAACGACATTCACCTAATTTCCATTCACCATAATCTCACATAAGTATATTTCAGTTGGCTATGAGTAACTCGAAGAAACCTCACACAAAAAATTTTATATTCTATTTATAGTTATTCTTGCATTACTTACAAGTATGACAATATTTTTCATTTCATATCGGTGTACCTATTATAACGGTTCACACAAACAACTTTAAAAATCCACTTTTACTGATTTCACCAATCCATTTTACCCAACAACTACAAACATTATTTGTCAGTTTATCTTAAAACATGAAAATCAAGTTCCATTTATTTATCAATTCTGATTATAATGTTTACAATTTCATTATTATGATCAAAATTATTCTCATTATAATCATTACAATTTTGATTATGATTGTTACTATTATAAAAGTTATTCTAACTACCATATTTGCGATTATTATAACCATTATCCGCAGTTTTATTATTGTTATAACAACTTCTATTATTCTTTCAATTACTATTTTAAACATTATTATCAATAACAGCATTATTGATTTTATTATTATTATTATTATACTTGAATATTTTCACGATTGTTTGCTTTTAAGAAATTTCTTAGAAATAATTGATCAAATTATTGTGAGATTGAAATGGTGAATGACTTTGACTCAAGTAAGAACCGTTCGCTGGAAACAGCGAATGCAATCCATTTGATTTTCGCAATGCAGAAATCATCAGAAATCATTGAAATGATTTGAAACCAATCGAGAGTGAAATTAGAATACACTATTGATTCATTATATTATCACATGAATCTTTTAAAGAAATTTTAGAATACCTTTCAACAGGACTATCGGAGTGAGTGTGGATATTTTCTTTGCTCACACTAAGACTCGCTTCCACATTCACACCTCACATTTAGTCTTAAAATTACGCATACAAACAGTCACACCCAACATTTCAACTCTATTGGACTTATTGTAGCTGAAAAAACGAGAGCATTGGAGAATGACCTTCAGCCATTGTGACCCCGATGTCTCCTAACAGGCAGAATTTAAAAATTCAATACTATGACAACTTTCGATCTGCTCATTAAGATCTATCTACCTCGGAAGTTTTGAAATTTTCTGGTGAGCTATTCTTCAAAAGTACTGCAAATGAATGGAGGTCCCCTTAAAGAAACGAAAAATATAGGGATAAACACACTACAAAAGATTTGACATAGATATTTTCAATTATATCTCAAATTTTGTTGTTCTATCGATTTTGAACTAAATTTTTCACTTTTCTTATCTGTTATTTCTACGGCAATTGATATCTTCTTCCATCCAAAACTTTCGATCAGTATCTGTGGTACATAAAAGATAATGCTTTATTTTGAAAAAGCTATAAAAATCTATTGTATTGGCAATGCTGTAAAAATATTCGATTGAGTGATGAAAATACTTGAATTCGTTTTGTTACGACTAATATTGCGTAGTTGTTGACCAAGTTCCTCGAATGTCATCAATCGAGACTCTAATGCCATTCGCATAGCCTAAAATAAATTAATCAACTAATATTTATTAATTTTTCAAACTTACATAGCCTAGAGATGATCTATCATTAATCAGTGCATGTGGATCTATATGATTATATTTATTTTCTTTAAATTGAAATTTTGAAAATGGTGCATCTGTATGCCAACAATGTAAATGTAAACGATTATTTTTTTCTATATCATTTTGATCATTATTTGTTGTTGATTGATCTAATAATTCAGAACCATTTTGTACATCAAGCTTTTCTGAATTTACCAAATGATTGACTGCTAAATGAGTACCATACATACTTAATACACCATAATGCCAATCAGGCCATAATAAAGTTCCAACTTTTTGTTCTCGTTCGGCAGCACAAAATTCATTGATAAATAAATGAAGTATAGCATCTAAAGTTAAGTTTGCTATGCGCTGAGCAACATATGGTGATCCATACCTTGAAAAACAACATAGAATAACCAATAAGTATTCAGATACTAACGGAACTCAATAGATTCATTTCTGGTTTGAAGAATAATCGTTTTTTTTTATAAGTATCATTGATTTCAAGAGCAAAAAAAGAACTTTAACGATAATTCTAGGATAATCATAATGATTCAAATAGGAGTAGATATTATCAAAGATAGTTTGATTACTGGTACAGAATTACTTTCTCTTTCAATCGTTTAAGCTCGCTATATATTCAAATTAGCCATCAATAAAAGCTTTTACAAAGACTCAGTGAGATGGCACGTGCATACCGGGATGTATTGGATGTCTTGAATTATGACGATAGTGAGAAAGCCAGATTAACTCTCCTCACGGTTCATGACAGATATTTAAAAAAAAGAATACTTCGACTGCCATTCTCTTTCCTACAAGCAACACGTGATTCTTCAATCTTTATTAGCATCCTTTATAAATGTTTCATGGTTTCTATAAATTGATGTATTTAAAACGATATGAGTCTTATAAATATGGTTATAGTTCAGAAAAAACTAAATATATTGAAAATGTATCGAGTCTTTAATTATTACTGTTTCAACATTGCATATGATAATCAATCCTAACTGTCGAATTTTAGATAGTAAATATTTAGATAAAAAGCAAACCTTAGAATTCTTTTATAACTATAAACGAATCACACTTTCATATCATAAAAGTAACATGAACTAACCATGTTGATCCAACATTAGTCAAATTTTGATATTTCCAATTCATATCTCTAGCAATACGTCCAAGACGAAGTGTATTAAATTGTGTTGAATAACCTCCACGACCAGCAATTAATGTTTTCAATGTATTTGGTATATAATTAGCAAATTGTTTTGTTATAAAAACATCAAGATCAGTTTTAAGAATAAAATCATAATATGAATATATTGAATAACTTTCTGCAATAATATTTACAGAATCAATATAGGGATATGTTCTTAAATGATTATACAATAAAATTGAACGTGAAATATCAATATGAAATAAATTTTTTTCACTATCATTGGCAAATATTGTTTGTTGTTTAGTTAAAGAATTTATATGACGAGCTGATATTCGAAGATAAATAAATACTCGACATTTTGGTTGTTCATCATTATTTGTGCGTATTTGATTAACTAAGCATCCAAGTTGTATAAGTGATGATGAATATTGTTCAGTAAATATGATAAGATCTGTTCGCCATTGATTTGATTCATATTTAATCATTTCAATCCATGATCTATATAACCATCGAATTTCTGGTAAATAATATTTTTCTTGACTTGATGGATAGAAAACTAGAATAGCTCGTTGTATAGATAAAGTATTTAAGTTTGATGACTGTTGTGGGAAAAAATCAGTATTTGACTAAAGTAAATAGAACTTATACATGATATTTAAAAAAAAAATTCTTTTTACCTTTATTATCGGTTTAAAATACGAATAATGTTCAAAACTGGTATAAATACTTGTTAAAGTAATAAAGATTAGAAAAAGTATGATATAATAGTAACGTGTATGTGATAAAATATTCAATAACATCGAACAATAAGTACCTACAAAAAACATGTTCAAGAAAATAATGAAAAGATACTTGATTTGATAAAAACTTTTGAGTGAATCCATTTTTCTTATCTGCTTTTACCGTGCAAGTTACATAGGAAGTAATAGAAAAAAAATTCAGCTTTGATCGAAAACTGTTGTCAATTTTTCCTTGGAACCATAGAGAATTGGAGAATTTTCTAGACGTGTCTAATGAATGTTCCATCAAAAACATTTGAAGCTTTTGATAAGATATTTATTAGACACTCTTAGAAGCTACTCCAAATCTCCACTATTTCAGGCAAAAGTAGGCAAACTTTTTTCGACTGAAGGTATTTTCTGATCATTTTTCATCTAACTAGCGTGACGAAAGATAATAAAAAAGAGAAATACTTTTTCTAGAAAAGCAGTTGGATACTCACGTCTTTATCCTTTTAAGAATTGAACTTAGAAATTATTAAACAATTTTGTCTTTATGAAATTCTAGAAACATTTCGTATCATTGATATTTCTGAACAAAATTTTAATACTGAAACAGTCTTCTATTTTTAGCTTTAAAAATTAGACAAACACTCCTTCTATCAGTTTTCCACAACAATAATTTTACTTTGATAACTAATCGAAACAATCGTAGATATCACAATCCTAAAAATTTCTACTAAACTTACATAATAATAAATTTTAAAAAAATATCAATTTCATTATCATATGCAATTATACTAGTAGTAAATGTTTCATTTGTTTGAAACATTGAAAATCATCCTTTAATTTGTCAATTGATAACACTAAAAATATAGTGAAGAAAAAAAAAGCAATTATATCAACTTAAACACGCCTCTCACATCAAATGAAGAAAAAAGTACTAATCCTACTCTTATCTAAAGATCAATTTGATTCAAATAAGGTTTTATTTACTTAGGTGGTGTATATAATGCCAAGGTGTTATAATTCATTCAAGTACGCACGTCAGCCTTGCTTGACAAATCTGTAATAAAAGAGATTCATCCATCACATCTGCTTAAATAGTTTCAATGGCATCGCAATATTATACACGATTCTACCATTTCTCAATTAGCAAATAATTAAAAATATCTTTTCTTGATCCGAAAGAATCATACTTATTAATATGAGTTCTTATTTATTAGTTATTCTGTCACAAGAATAACACCTACTGAACAATATTGACTAATGTATCCGTTATGAATGTACAGTTTTGAGAAAAATTGACGACAATGTTGCATTACATTGTATAACTTTGCTCAGAGAATATACATTAATAAGACTATGTCGAAGCTTAAATTCAGATTGAAAAATATTTTTATAATAATATATAACAGATATTAGCGCGATTCTTGTACTATTTTTTTGTAATAATTTTGTATCTAATGCTAATGATAATAGTAAAATTATAGAAACAAACACATATGAAAGACGAACTATGTTCTGTATATCTTGTTTATAATAGATGCTAGATAAGTCTGACAATGAAGGCTGTATAAAACAAACTATGTTATTATTTGATTTTTTTCTCCCCAGAAGATATGTCGATATTTCCTATCATCTATAATGATCGTATTTGTCCATACACTTATAGTAACCAATAATTATTACTTTAGTATTTATTATTCTTGTTTTCTTTTATTAATAAAAGATATAGAAATAATAATAGAAAGAAAAAACATCATTTAAATGCCTGAATTAGTATACAAATATTTATTTAATTTTTTTCAAAAGGTATTTTTCTTTTATATTAATATTTTATGAAAAAGTTCTAGTCTTCGGTTAAAACAAGAAAATAGTTAAATGTTTCTTAAGATGATGAAGAATTATTTCGTACTAATTTTGGCATTTGTTCAAGTGTCATTCACATTGACCTGCACAGAAAAAAAAACAAAGATTTTGAAATAAATAAAAAAGATTTTTTTTCTTTCTTTACATAAGTTTGAGCCGATTTTAATTCGAAATTGATTTTGATCAACTAAATGATGTATTGCTAAATGTTGACCATATAGAAGCAAAACGCCATAGTATCTTTTAATGAAAAATAAAATTTGAAATTTTTTAATCGATTTTTCATTTAAGTACCAATGTATTAGTTGTAAAGAAACAACACAATCAAATTTGTGTTTCTTTTTAAGATAAATACTTAGAGCATACCAAAAGTTCTGGCCACGGCATTGAAAGATCTTTTCGGATAAGGGGACATACAGAGAAATGAAAAACCAAATATACCATATTGTAGAGCTTTTTGAGACGCGTCGAATAGTATATAGTAAATCTTGTTTTCATAGGACTTTGAAGGACCTAGAGTCAATTTGCTGATAGGGTGGGGTGTGAATGTTCATGAGATCAATGTACGCAAACTCGCACCCACACCCATTCGACACCCCTCAAAAAGCTGTACAACATGGTATATTTTGGTTTTTCATTTCTCAATAGGTCTCCTTATCCGAAAAGATCCTTTAAACACCATGGTCAGAACTTTTGGTATGCCCTAAGTACAATATAAAAAAGATATAGTACCTATAAAAACGATTTTCGGTTATTAATGATTGTCAACTATCTTAAAGATAGAAGAATTTAATGCCTGAAAAAATTAATGTACGATAATTTGGTAGTCCAAGATATTAGAGTAATAATAAATCGATTTAAAAATCAACATATTTATAAGCTTCATTCCATTCTGAAAAAGAAAACATATTTTCATTTGTCTAAAGAGGGTTCTATACCATTTTTTTTTATTATAATCTTTTGTATATGTTATTCGTATATCAATGCAAGAAGATGTCTTGTTTGATATATATATTCAATTATTTGCAAAAAAACTTGCACACTTTGCTTCATAAGTATTTCTTTCTATATACGTTAATTTGAATTGTTTCATCTCTGAAATGATAGACCACAGAGAGTACTATATTGTGCCATAATTTATAATTTCATTAGTTAACTTTTGGAAGAAAAAATAAAAAAACATTAGTTGTTAATAGACAACGGATAATTTATTACAACATCAATATAAATATTTGAAAACTCTTTTACTAAAAATCATTCAAACTCTTTGATATTTTTTTGATTTTCTACTTTCAACTTTATGTTGTACACTTAGCTAAATATTTTCTGTCTAATTTAGATTCAGATTGTTAAGCTGATCGGTCCATTATTTTGAGGTTGTGATCAGATTATAAATGTTAGTTTTCGCGAAATTTCATTAAAAAAAAAGATAGCTGAAGAATATCACGCCTCTATGGATTACTTGTATATTTTCATTTATTTGTTTAAGGGTACCCCCCCCCTCTTTTTTGACCCAAAACTCGATTTTGAGCTGAGCCCAAGATATGATAGCCTTAGGTGCCATGTACAGCTAGAGACATTATTCGACTCGAAATGTCTTACTTTTACCTATTTATTAGATCGAGAAAATTTTTTTTTTCACAGTAATCGTATGTAAATTTATTTCTTTTATTTAGCGTTCTGTAAAACAGCGATTTTCTAGATCTTGACACATTACGACCCCCTTTTTAGTTTGTCCGATCGAGCTGAAAATTTCACGACTAATACTTCGAAGTATTCTCCAGAGGTAAAATCAAGCGTTTTCATTTTTGACGTTCCTGCTCGGAGTTACCGGGTCGTGAAAGTCAAGGTCTGAAGCACAAACTCGAAACTGGGCGTATTTTTCTTATAAAAAAAAAAGAAAGTGAGATTTTTGGAAATCCTTAAATTTACCTCTGGGGAATAGTGTTAGGCATCTATAAACAAAATTTCAGCCCAATCGGACAAACTTTAAGGGGGGTCGTAATGTGTCAAGATGCGAACCTCTGGAAAACCAGAGTTTTTCGGAAAATCCCATAAAAAGTTATTTAAAATTTTTTTTCCTCGAACACATATCTCTTTATTTTTAGTGCTCTATCTGTGCTAAAAATTTCAGCTTGATCGGTTGTACCATCTTCGAGAACCAGCAAGTGTCAAAAAAGAGGGGAGGGGTACCCTTAAGTAATATCTGATTATTACGATGAATACCTTAATCAACAACGCTTGTTTTTATACCGAGGACGCATTATCAACCAATTCTCTTTCGTTATTAAAATAAATGTATTGATTTTAATTTGTCGATGTTATGAATATAGATTTCCCATGAGAGGCTTTATTTCACGCTTCTCAATGCTAACTGATCTCATGGCTTTGCTTCAATAGTGCGACATGAATAGATAACAATTAATTTGAAGAGTAGAGCATAATATATCTTAATTTTTATATATCCACATAAAAAATAACCGCATTTTCATTAGGTCATTTCTTTGTCCAGCTGACAATAAACGATCACCGAAAAAATGATACATAAAATCGTTTCATAAAAGATGAAAACACTAAAAAAAATTCCTATATCTATGCAATTTTTTTTTTCAAACAGCTGTATATACTGCTTTTATATGAGATCTTTTTTTTCTTTCTTCTTGCCTTCAATTAGAATGTGACGAACGATCAATGTAGGGTATTCGATTTTAGAATTAGAACTTCTTTAGTAGGCTAAATATGTGGTAAATCGATTAGAGTGACAATTTTGTCAGCAAGTAATTGTTGTATGAAATCATAACGCTTTTTAAAGCTCTTCATATGCATTATTATTATATTCTATTCTTGTTTATCACTTTTTCCGTATAGTTCAATATTTCAAATGGATTTTCTTCTTCCAGCTAACGCACTTTCTTTTCGTGGAGATTATTTTTAGTGCATCATTAGAGAATTTTGTAGTATGGAGGAGTTCGAATTACTTAAATTTCAACTGATCAATTCTTCAATGGATCTGGCTGAGAATCGACGATGTCTTCTTTACTCTTCAAATGGAATGAGACTGATCAGCATCGCTCAAAAAAGTTTCGCACGTTTCGAGCAAAAATAAACTTAGCAACTATTCATTTTTTGTCATGCTGAGTATTCACTTCGTTCTCTTCTTCCATCTATTGATTCTTCATCTTCATCAACTGTCAAGCCTTTAACGATTTCATCTGAACTTCTTCAACGATATCCACTCTCGATCGATTTTATCTACTGTCTGGAATCGAACTTATTGACTAATTTTTCACTAGATTTCATTTCGAATATACTATATAACATGGCATGTTCTAAAAATTCCTTTCGCTGCTTCCTTCTATATCTTAAAAGGACTTAACATTTATGAATAGATCTGCGACAGCTTCCAATTCTATGAATCGATTTGTTTTTTTAGAATCGAGCTCTGCAATGCTAGTATTAAGTTTCCGTTAGCTTCATTTCAGCACATTTGTGTAGTTCAAAAACATAGTTCAGAATGAAGCAATAACAAATTTAATTGGTAGGTTTAAATGAGATGTCTGATGGCACCAGTTCATTCAAAAAGGACTATTATATAAATCAGTTTCTATCAAACGAACTTTTGGAACAGCTCTCAAGATGAGAACTGATATGAAACCGTTATAGGTCTAGTGTCCTGCATGGGTACGACTTTTTTCAACCGAACCTGGACAAGTACGGATTTTCTCGAGTACGAGTACATAGGAGTAAGTTTCCTAATATCTTATTAGAGAAAATTTAATTAGTAGCTTTATAAATAACGTATCAATTTTGAGATCCAAATATTGTAACAGTAATGAATTAAAATGTTGTTATTATTATTTTTTTATTATCGAGTTTCAAGTAATCAAACTACACCAAAATCTTATTACATTTAAGAAAAGTAACCAAACATACATTTTTTTAATGGTTAACAATGCGCAA